AGATAGAGAGAAAGAGAGACTTTTGGCTTCATGCAAGGAAAGCAGCAGAAGCAGCAGAAGCCTTTCTTTCTCTCCTCCAAACTCCGCCAGAATGGCGAAGCCTCTTGGAGCAGGATGCCTTACAGAATCCCAAAGACTCATTTCTGGCGGAGTTTGGGGGAGAGAAAGACTTTTGCTGCTTTCCTTGTGTGCAGCCAAAAGCAGAAGAAAGAAGCAAAAAGAAGCAGCCCGGTGGCCAGGCGAGGCGTGTGGGGTGAGTGGGGCAAGTTCTCCCCTCCGCTCTTTCCTGCCTCCCCTCACTACCTCGTGTTGTTCACAATGCAAGCGACACAAGCCTTGTGTTCCTGAGGGCCATGTGGGCAGCACAGCCTTGTGTTCCCGCGCAGCCTGGATTAATTGCTTTAGGAGTGCTTTGGGGGTGACATTTCTCTGCGGACCACCAGAATTTTCTCACGGACCACCAGTGGTCCCCAGCCCACTGGTTGGCAACCACTGCTCTATCTGAACTAAGGATAAATTTCCTGACAGAACAATTAATCAGTGGAACAACTTGCCTCCAGAAGTTGTGAAGGCTCGAACACTGGAAATTTTAAAAAAGATGTTGGGATAACCATTTGTCTGAAGTGGTGTAGGGTTTCCTGCCTAAGCAGGGGGTTGGACTAGAGTTAAAATAAGCAAAAAAATAGTAAGAGAACACCTGTCTGATCTTGATGAAAACAAATCACCGGGGCCTGACGGATTACATCCCAGAGTTGTTTTAAAGGAGCTGGCAGAGGTCATTTCAGAACCACTGCATCATATCTTTCAAAAATCCTGGAGCACCGGGGAACTACCAGAGGACTGAAAAAGAGCTGATGTGGTTCCCATCTTCAAAATAGGGGGAAAAAACAGACCCAGGAAACTATAGACCAATCAGCCTAACATCAATACCCGGGAAGATACTAGAAAAGATAATAAAAAAACAGATATGCCAACATCTAGAAACAAGTAAAGTAATAACTAGCAGTCAGCATGGGTTTGTTAAAAACAGATCATGCCAAACCAATCTTATTTCATTCTTCAATACAGTGACTAAATTAGTAGACCAGCAAAATACTGTGGACATAATATATTTAGATTTCAGCAAGGCATTCGACAAAGTAGACCACAACCTACTTCTTAGTAAGCTAGAAAAAAGTGGAATAGATAGCACCACCACTAGATGGACTCGCAACTGGCTGGCAAACTGTACTCAACGAGTAGTCCTTAATGGATCTAAGTCTACATGGAGGGAAGTAAGCAATGGGGTGCCACAAGTTTTAGGATCAGTACTCTTCAATATCTTCATTAACAACTTAGATGAGGGAATAGAAGGGGAACTTATCAAATTTGCAGATGATACTAAGCTGGCAGGAATAGCTAACACCCAAGAAAATAGGCTCAAGATCCAGATGGATCTTGACAGACTAGAACACTGGGCCGTATCTAACAAAACAAGAAAAGTAAAGTCCTACACTTAGGCAAGAAAAACCAAAAGTACACATATAGACTGGGTGAAACCAGGCTCAATAGCAGTAACTGTGAGAGGGATCTTGGAGTCTTAGTGGACAACCAGCTAAATATGAGCCAGCAGTGTGCAGCAGCAGCCAAAAAAGCTAATGCAATCCTACATTGTATTAACAGAGGGATACAATCAAGATCAAGGGAAGTACTAATACCACTCTATAAAGCCTTAGTAAGACCACACCTAGAGTACTGCATCCAGTTTTGTTCACCACATTATAAAAAAGATGTTGAGACTCTAGAAAAAGTACAGAGAAGAGCAACCAGGATGATTAGGGGACTGGAGGCTAAAACATACAACAAATGTTTGCAGGAACTGGGCTTGGCTAGTCTAGTAAAGAGAAGGACCAGGGGAGACATGATAGCAGTCTTCCAATATTTGAGGGGCTGCCACAGGGAGGAAGGGGTCAAGCTATTTTCTAAAGCACCTTTAGGCCAGATGAGGAATAATGGATGGAAACTGAACAAGAAGAGATTTAACCTGGAAATAAGGAGAAACTTTCTGACAATGAGAACAATCAACCAATGGAACAGCTTGCTCTCGGAAGTTGTGGGAACGCCATCACTTGAGACTTTCAAGAAGAGATTGGACTGCCATTTGTCACAAATGGTGTAGGGTCTCCCGCTTGGGTGGGGGGTTGGACTAGATGACCTCCAAGGTCCCTTCCAACTCTACTCTATTCTACTCTATTCTTTAATAGTAGAATAGAAGTTAATGCTAACAATAATTTGGGACTTTTAGATGTGAATGCATCTGGACCAAATTATGAAATCAACAGATCCAATTCCTCTTCCAAAAAAACCTCAAGGTGGTTTATAAATTGATTGTAACTAAGCAATTTCAAATTATTAATATTCTTAGTAGCTTGTGACTTAAAGAAAATACCTGCAATCTTGGAGTGAAATTGTCCCAGAATATAAGTTTGTCGTTTGAGTTAGAGTCAAAGCTGTGTTTCCAATATATTCCAAATGGGCCTGATAACCTTTAATGAAGGACATTTTGGAATATTTGAAATAATGGAACTAATTTTTTCCCCATTTCTAAAGTAGTTGTGTCCAAAGTGGGTTTTTACTTAATCACTTATATTTCTTAGGTACCAACCCTTTAAGATAAGCCAAGCCAGCTACAAAAATTACCAAAATGTTCTTTGAATCTTGAATTCAGTGCCTGAATTTTGATCACATGATCCAAAAGGGTTGCTGCAAAGGTCATAACTGAAAAATGGTCATAAGTCACATTTTTCAGGGCCATTGTAGCTTTGAACGGTCACTAAATGAACTATTGTAAATCGAGGGCTACCTGCATATTTGTCATTTTCTCTTCTATCAACAGCAGTTCTGTACTGAAGAAGGTTCCTTATTTTCAGCCAACACATTCTCCACATAGGTTTGCATGTAAAATCTGAAATCCCCAATTTTTTCCCAATTATATCTAGTACGATTAAATACCAAAGGGTGTGTAGTCAGTAAAGACGTTGGGCATTGATGCAACATATCCCAACCAATAACATTGTTTCCAAATACAGATAAGTTATTGACAAGTTATCTCGCCCGCTGTAAATTCTAGAGATATTTGAGCTTGGTTGTGAAAACCAAGTGTTGGAAGCAAAGCACAGCTCATGTTACTAATTCAAAGAAGCAATAAATTATTCATTACATTATTAATTCGACAGCCCTCCAGCTATTTTTCCTTTCCAGAGAGCCTGCAACGAGGATACTTTTTGCTGTTTTTGCTTCTCTGAGGATGCCACAGATGCTTCTCAAACACTTTTTCCCCATAATTTTCTTGAGCACAGCAAACGGAATAAATGCCAAGACAGGTAAATGAAAGGGCTTCGGGGTGTGGAAGCAGCATTCTCAATTAGTTTGCAGAATCCTTACTTTTTAAATAGAATGTCTTAAGTTTCTTTTCCATGCCCATCTGAGATACTTCAGAAAATTAGCTGCCGTTGAGAGAAATATTATCTATACTAATGACACTCTTTGGGCAATGTTTTCAGCAGTCTGTTTGAGGTATTTTGGAAATTTTTTAAAAAACACTTACAAATGTTGTCTAACCCAGCCTAGAGATCTTAAGTGTGATCAATTATCAACTGGAAGTGAATCCAAATATTCACTCCCTATTGGAATGAATGGGAAACACTCATGCCATCTCATGGCTGTAACAGACTGGAAATTTCTTCCCCTATTCCTCCTGTGAAGATTAGGTATGATAGGAGAGGACAACATTTGTACAGGTAGTCCTCGACACAATTGAGCCCAAAATTTCCATTGCTAAGCAAGACAGTTGTCAAGGGAGTTTTGCCCCATTTTATGATCTTTCTTGCCGCAATTGTTAAGTGAATCTGGCATCCCCATTGACTTAGCTTGTAAGAAGGTTGCAGGTGGCACCACATGATCCCAAGAAACTGCAACTATCATAAATACATGCCAGCTGCCAAGCTTCTGAATTTTGATCATGTGACCATGGGAATGCTGCAATGGTCATAAGTGTAAAAAATGGTCATAGGTCACTTTTTCAGTGCCACTGTAACTTTGAACAATCATTAAATGAATGGAGGTAAGTAGAGGATTCTTCATTACTTCACACAATTTCATTGATAAACTTACAACTATGTTTACAATAGTCTACTAGACATGTGGTTTCTCTTTTACTAATTTGTCACTGATTTCTTAGAATGTACTATCTGTAGGCGAGTCTATTTGAATAAAGTTAAGGACAATGGTTAAATATTTACAATATGCAAAGAAATACTGGGGGGTAAATCCCTATCTGGATTTTTGAATTCATGCCAAAATTCTGTCCTAAACTCTGTAGAAGTACCAATCTCTTTCTTTGATTAAAAAAACCATATTTCCCACCTTACCACCTCCCAGTATCTTTTACTGAGAGTTTAACACAATGTTACTGACAATTAAATAGTCTTCCCAGATTAGACTCTGTTTGAAAGAGTCTGATTTGTAAAATATAAGTGTCAAAACAATTATCCTTTCAAGACATAATCAGAGAAGAGAATTATACTTATGTTCAATGCATAAATAGGAAGGAAGGAAGGAAGGAGGGAGGGAGGGAGGGAGGGAAGGAAGGAAGGAGGGAGGGAGGGAGGGAGGGAGGGAGGGAGGGAAGGAAGGAAGGAAGGAAGGAAGGAAGGAAGGAAGGAAGGAAGGA